TTAAAATCTGTGATGAAAATCCAACTGCAGTAGATAAAACCATTTTTTACAAAAGTGAATGATATCAATCTTAAACATAATTCTAGTATTTATTAAACAAAAAAACAAAAAATGTTTTAAATGAATGATTTTTTTTTTGCTGTTTAAATCATTTGTTTTAAACAAAACCATGTTTGATTAATTTAAATGTTTAAAACATGTTTTAAACTTAATGTTTAAAACATGTCAACCCTGAGTAAAATCAAGTGTGCAGTCCGAAATTGTTCAAATAATAGGGCCTGCTCATAACCATAATGTATTTCTATTTTAGATTCTGAGTGAAGCAAAGGACCTTATGGTTTAGCAATGTTGTTTTCAACAAAATTATTTGTTTTTCTGTCAACAGTTTTTCGTATAGAAATATTTGTCCAAAAGTTTCATCCAGCAACTTAATATATGTTATTACATATTCGATTTGTTTTACCGAAAATTATTTATCCGTTTTTCTTTATTTATGTTGATTTGATGTGTAACGTTATTATTGAACGCTTACACACAGCTGTGAAACGAAGAAAACATAATACGTTTAAAATATAGTTTGTTTTTTTATCAGCGTTAAGTACGTTCAATACGATTTGTTTTGCCAAACGATATAGGGAGATAGCTGTTGTTTGATTTATTTATACTTTTTTTGAATGGAAAGGAATTGAATTCAAAGGGTCTTCGGTACTAACGATACTGTTCAAAACGTTCACAGCTATAAAATAACGAGTACTAGGTATATATTACATTTTGAAACTTTTTCGTTCCACTGCTTATTGAATGTTATTTTTTTCGGTTTTAGTTATGAGTGTTACAACATCAGTCGTTACACTTGGACGAAAGGAAATTAAAACTTTTGTGATGTAATGTAAATAAGAAAACCCGGTAAGTTTTACCTTTTTTCTTTCCACTGTACATGTTTTTAAAATTTGTTAATTATATAAATTTTTATTCGTCTTACCAAAAAATAAAAAGCAACGTGATTGACATCAATGATATTTTTATAAACACAATCGGATATAAAAAGTATATATACAATACTTTTTAGAATTCTGTTGTTCACACCTATGTTTATTAGGTCTATCGTTCGACTATGATTTAATCGTGTCTTTATATTACGTTAAATGATTGAAAATTTGTTTTTTTT